TGTTCGGGTATTACGTAAGACCCTTAGAAAGCAGGGGGTCTAAGCTTGGCTTACGTGGTCTAACGGGTGAGAGGGGGGGGGCTTCAAAACTAACAACATCGAATCTATATATTTCCTCTTTTTATTGGATAAAACGACACAAAAAATGAAAAAAGTTTGAGAATTTTTCGAGGATTATTATACTAGAGTTGAATCTCAATCTTGGTATATTTTGTGCGAAATCTGCCTTAAAATGCATCGAAGAGAGGTCAACTTTCCAATATTTTCAAGGAAAACCCCGTGTATCCCTATCGGTTTTAGGAAGACTCAGACCCATCCTGGAAAAAAGGGGGCCGAGCCATTCCCAGACAGTAGAGGATCTAGCAAATTGGCAACATTGTTTTTCCCTCATTTAAACCTATACGGAAATGTATCGATTCTTGTTGGGGCCAGGCCAGGTGCTCCGACAAGAGTCGATTATTTAACATAAGTTTAAATGGAGGGAATCCGGATTTGCCGAATTGCTGGATCCACCTCTGCCCTCAGAAAGTTACTCTATCTACGCATCTATCTCTACATCGACTACCCTTCCTTCCTCTTCAAGTAGATTTGGGTTTTCTTTTGTTTTGCTCACGAGTCACCACGTGAATTCAAAACGATCATTACGAAGCGTCCTCCTCCTGTGGAAGCAGCTGCATGGTGGTCGATTGCCGTCCTTTACAGACGTGCTTAATGTGCACACCAGAAAATTATAGGTTAGGAGCGAAGCGCGGTACTGCACCGCGCTGTAGCGGCCGTAAAGGATCGTCGTTGCCACAACGGAGTAAACCCTTGACCCGACGAACGAATATTGACATTCATCGCCTATTAGCCGAGTGCAAATCAAAGATAGGACGGCGAACAAACAAATTAAAAAAAAAAGAATTAATGAAGTTTTAAATATTCGAACGACAAAACGAATAAAAATATAATTTAATCGTTGTGAAATAAACCTCGGGTCTTTTATCGTGAGCCATAAAGTAATTTGAGCGGAGTTTATCATTGAGTCGGCGATCGTAGAATAATTATTATTCTAAGAGATGAGGAATCACAGTTGGTAGTGAAAGGTAGGGTTGTAAAAATCTATTTCTCCGGCTACTAGTGGACGGATGGGACAGTAAGTCCTCTTGTAAGAACAGACAAGGCTTGAAGTAGGTAGGCCATAAAACAAAAAATTTCAATTGAGCTCATGAACTCCCATAACCGAGCGATGCCAACTGCTTTCACGATTCACTGCGATTTGTGCTTCGAATAAGGCCACCTTACCGTCTGAAAAGCTGTAATTATCCGTTACGTTGGTAACACTTGGCAGACATTTTGCACGATAAGACTTAACATGAATTTTTTTCCCCTTTTTTTTCAAATCAAATTTGTTTGAATTTCTCAAAGCATTAGTATAGACTTTCGATTTACCCTAAAAACTGCTCAATTCAGAACCCAAGCTGCGTATATCACATACTAACAGATACTCCGAGATTTAGCAAAGAAAAACTGGATTGCATTTTGGAAAAAGGAACCACTAGCATTGCAATGTTGTTAAGATTGTGCAACTTCTTTTGTCTTGGAGGAAAAACCCGATTATCCACTAATAGTTTCTATTTCACTCTCCAAAAACTGTAAATTTAAGACAAAAATCACCATCTAAATTTCATAGTTTTTCACGATTTCCGCAATTTTATTGCAAAAGATGAAGTTGCACAATTTTAGCATCATTGCAATGCTAGTGGTTCCTTTTTGCAAAATGCAATCCAACTAAAAGTCTCCATGAGATTTTGGATTAAACGCCAGGAAAATTGGTGGCCCACCAACCAGATCACATACTTCACTCGTAAATTACAAAATCACTTAATAGCTCAAGGGCTGGAGGTGAAGCTACTAGAGCAATTTTCAGTCTCGCGCGATTAAAGGCAAAGAACGAAGAGAGATGAAACATGAGAGAAGGGAAGAAAATACTCGTTTCCCTTAAATTTTGGGTAAATATCGTCTGCGGCCCCCTCTCCTGAAGACATTTCCTCATTTTTTGCATAATGCGATAGGAAAAAGTGTAACATGTTTGTCAAGGATATCTTTTAGACGTCAAAGTGGACGTATTTCAGCCAAACGGAACCAGAGACATGTGGGAAAGAAGTTGTGTGCTCGTTAGTCGAGGGTCGTAAGGATGAATGGGAATTATGAAGCGCCGCTGACGTCAGCAGCGACGAAGCCGCCGACGCGGTCGCCCTCGGGAGTTATTAACTCATGAGCCCTGTCCACAACGTTCTTGTTCCATACCCATGGCTCACGAGTGCCGCATTCACAAGGCACATAGTTCCGTTTGACAGAATTTAAAATCCCGCCTTTCCATTTCTCCAAAGGGAATCACGCCCACTTTAACATTGTTTCTAGTGCAGCTTACTAGAGCACACCCCATCATTTCCATTCGTCTACGGATCCGTTTTGTAGAGATTCGTCCAATTATTATTATATCATGTGCTGCCGTGCTGAGGAAGAACGCCGTATGAACATTCGAGAGTTGCCAAATTTCCTTAGATAAAACGTGTATATTTGAGGTGAGTTATACATAGCTTTCCTCGAATTCTTCAGACATTTTCGATTAAATTGCGAACAAAATAGTCTAAAATTGTCGAAGAAGAATATTCTCAACTTTCCCGGTAAATTCGTTTTTTGTCGAAGGAGATATGACAACGCCTGAAGGTTCATACGGCGTTTTTCCTTAGTACGGCAGTTTGGTCCATGGCGTCATTAACACCTACCAAAGTTCGCTGTCTTACACGGTTGAAGTGAAATCGATTCCTGAGTGAGAGAATCCCTCGAAGCTGCTAGAGTCCCTGTATACTGAGAGTCAAGACAACACCCCCTCATGGAGTCACAAACGAGAATACAGATTACAGAAATTGAACGTTTTTTGTAATCTTTGATCGGCCCATTCTCAAATTCCTTTCTCCGTTCCTTCTCTCATTCCGTTTGCCAAATCCGTAATTCCCTGGTCCATTCCAGATTTTAATCTTCGCAATCGGCAAAAATGTAATCTTTATTCCCGTTTAAGACACTGTGAAGGCCTAAAATACGGGGACCAATCAGAAATGGATTCACATTGTCTTGACTCTCAGTATAAAGGGACTCTAGAAGCTGCATGGTGGAAAAGCGATTAACAGATGCTTCTGAGAGGTTTGAGTAGGTCATCGCGGCGGAGAGCGTATAAAACTGAGTCATTTCAATCAAGATGGGCAGCTTTGTTCTCAAAACGGTGGCTCCGAGTTCAAGGTTTAGGTTAAACTCCCGACCTCCATTCATCCTCGATGTGTGAGCCGCCGCGCCTCGCCGACCGGCAGAAGAATAGCGTGAACTGGTCCGCAGATTAGCATCTCTCATTTCTCCCACTATTATTTGTTTTTCTTTTTTTTTGCTTTTTCCAGCGGGTTTTTTCGCTGTTTCTAATGTTCGGCCGGGCCCGTTCAAAACACCGGAGCGGCATTCGACATTATTCTCATCTACAAATTATGAAACCGGTTTCATCACCGCGGCGAAACCATTTACCAATTGCTCGCTCGCCGAACGGTAATTATGGTAACGAAACGCCACTCTTCGGCTACCGCACGCGCGCCGATGACAGCAACCCCGCCGCCCGCCCATCTCCGAGATGCGCCAGATTTAGAGCCGCTTTGTGGGTGGGAGTTCCTCAGGCGCGCTCCTCCTGATCAAGAAAGGATAGGCAACCCGCTCATTTCGTGGATCTTCTACTTGTAATGGACCTCTAAACAGAATATAATATGACCATTTTCAAGCGCACTTCTCCTGCTCAAGAAAGGATAGGCAACACGCTCATTTCGTGGATCTTTTACTTGTAATGGACCTCTAAACAGAATATAATATAACCATTTTCAGGCGCGCTCTTCCTGCTCAAGAAAGGATGGGCAACACGCTCATTCCGTGGATCTTTAACTTGTAATGGACCTCTAAACAGAATATAATATAACCATTTTCAGGCGCGCCTCTCCTGCTCAAGAAAGGATAGGCAACCCGTTCATTTTGCGGATCTTCTACCTATAATGGACCTCTAGACGGAGTATATGGATTGCATTTTGCAAAAAGGAACCAAGAGCACTCAATGTTGCTAGGATTGTGCAACTTAAATTATTTGCAATAAAATGACTGAATCATGCAAAAAATTAAATTTACCAAGGTGAATCAGTCGTGAATTTATAGTTTATTGGGAGTAAAGTTAGTACTTGTTTAGACGATCATTTTACATTTGCAAGTTAAAAATGGTAGTACAATCTTAGCGACATTGGAATGATCTTGGTTCCTTTTTGCAAAATGCAATCCATGTAACCAAGCACTAAAGAAAATCGGCTGTGAAACTCCCGAACCGCGTGTCTCGTTTGCAGTGTTTTAAAAATCTCTCTAATTTTACTTTTATGAAGGAGAACATACCTACTTCATTTCTTTGATTTTTCAGCATTATTTTCGCATACAAATTCCGGAAGTTTTTTTAAAATTGAAGTTGAGAAGTTGTCCATTTAAAAGATAAGGTATGGCAGGAAGTCTGCAACGTCGTAAACCGAGGTACGTGAGTTGGAAGTTTCACCGTCGACGTGTTATCTCATTGTAATTAAATTTGGACTACACTTTGCAATGATTAGGAACTACAATATCCAACGCAGTGTGAAAACAACGTACGTAATATTAGTTTCAATTTAGCACATAAGTGTTTCTCCGGATGAGTCAGAAATTGTAGTTCCTAATTGCAAAATGTTGTCGATTTCACGAGAACACGTTGCACATATCAGAAAATTCTGAAATTTACGCAAGTAAAGGAGACATCAGTGTTGGTAGTTGACATTATAAAAAGTCAATTTAAACATTTTTAGGACATTTCATTTTATCAAATGTGATTGCGTCAGTATGTTTTTTCAAATCCCTTTCTAAAGGGAAGAATCTTTAGAAATATCTAATGGGGCATTTTCTTTTTTATGTTTCAGCTTTACTCCTTGCAATTGCTTCCCACGTGGCCTTGGTAAGTCCAGTAATATTCTTAAACGTTAAAATTCTTCTTATTTTACGCGCGTATTTATTAACTTTTTTTTAAAAAAAAGTTGAATGATAACCAAGGTGTTGTGTGCAAAATTTCACACAACACCTTGGTTATCATTCAAATTTTTAAAATTAAAATGGTGTTGTTGCAATCCCTCGGATAAATTTACTTACCCCTACATATAGGTGTCCTCAAAATATGTAAAAACCAGAGCTAAAAGTTCCAATTACGAATGACGATTCATTATGAAAGCATTCCACCTGATGGAAATATTCGGTACTTTCCATGATTCTAATAAATAATATTTCAACCACACGTCGCAAGCTCTTTACCCTGGTAAAAATTAGCAGTAGAATCTGTGCTCCAAAATACCATAGATCTCCAGCCGGCTGTAAGATTTCCAATAGCTTCTATAGCCGGCTACACAATTACTTATGGCCTTTTATAGCCGATGGCGATTAAGCAACAGCCAGGCGATAAAGTGTATGCGAAACGTTACTAATTACGGATGCTAGGACTTAGTGAGTTTTTGGACTACTGCTCTCTTTCTGGGCCGTAGTATCTTAATTTATTTTAAGAGGAAAGCTCCGTACTTTTGAAAGATGCCTGCCATTCCTAATATGTTGCCTTCAATTTCGTGTGATACTGTGCAATACCTCTGGTGTGAAATACTTGCTTCAAGCAATGTGGCACCCTGCGGCGCGGCGGGCGGGCAGCCAGCGCGAAACGCGCATTGGCGCCTACAAACCTAACAGGGATACTTCACGCATTGCGCAATGCGTGAAGTATCCCTGTTAGGTTTGTAGGCGCCAGTGCGTCGCCGCTCCGCTTTGTGTTAGGCTCTAATATTTAATCTCGCGGAGTCAGCGTTTTTCAACTCATGATTTTGAAATGTTTGCACATCCTGTACGGATTATTCTCATTTTAATTGATGAAAAAAAATATTTATTAAAGGAAAATATATTGTGTTTTGTAAATACCTATTAAGGTGGTTCCGTATCAAACTTAATGATTTCCAAAGCACACGAATTTCTACACAATTTCTTATAGCCTTTTAAAGCCGATGGCGATAAACTGTATATCCCGTTGTTAGGAACTATAGTCCGGCTGTATAACTTTTCATCGCTTCGTATGACCCAGCTGTGTGATTTTCTCCGCTTTCTACAGCCAGCTATATGATTTTCTATCACCTTCTCTAGCCGGCTATAAGCATTCCTATGGTATTTTGAAACGCAGCTCCTGTCGCCAATTTTTACCAGGGTATACTAAAGAGGGGAGAGAAGATTTTTCTGGAGCAAGCTTTGCTCCCACCCAATGTACACAAATAGAAAATTACTTTCACAAGGGTGTCAATAAAATTTTGAAAATGTGTGGAGGTCCTACTTCGAAGTGATATTATTATTTCTAGAGCTCAATCAGTAAAACTCTCCACGTGAGATGTGCGTTGCTTTCGTTGGTTGTTCCCGCTGTATTTTTTATCAATTATTTTCTCACTGTTTCAGGCTCAAAGTAATGGATACAGTTACCCTCGACCAAGCAATCAATTCCCGGTAGCAAGTTCCCCAAGACCCTTCGACACAACTCCAGGCTTCAGTCCTACGCAAACCTCTAGGCCTCAGACTCAGGACAACGGATACAATTACAACCGACCCTCTGGATCGAACGGGTTCCCAAGCGGTAACTTCCCGTCAACCGGTAGCTTCCCATCAACAGGCAATTTCCCATCGACAGGCAACTACCCGTCAACAGGAAGTTTCCCGTCAACAGGGAGCTTCCCGTCAACAGGAAACTTCCCGTCAACAGGAAACTTCCCAACTCAGCAGCCGACCTCGCAACCAGGGACTCAAGGCTACCCCGCGGCAGGTTATCCTTCAACATCCTTCGGCGGAGGAAACTTCCCAGTAACCACGACTGTTTCCTATCCAACCGCAGGCTATCCTTCAGGCACGCCTGGCACTGGCAGTTTCCCCACCACGCCTTCATTCTCCACTCCTAGCTACCCTAGCGGCAGTACCTTCCCCTCTACAGGAAACTTCCCATCTACTGGTAACTTCCCCTCACCAACATCTGGATACCCTAGCGGCATCCCCACCACAACTTACGTGCCCTCTGCACCCTCATCATCAAACGTGCCGTCCTTCGGAACTGGAAACTTACCAACTGGAGGCTTCTCCTCCGGCAGTGGAAGTCCTGGAACCTCAGGGATTACTGGAGCGTCTATACCTGGCGTTGGAGGCTACGCTCCATCAGGCAATATACCTTCAACTGGCTTCGGAACTGGCAATGCCGGCGGAATCGGACCTAGCAGCGTTGGAGGTGGTAACGCTGGTGGAAACTATGGTGGCAGTAACTTTGGAGGTGGCAACGCTGGCGGGATCGGGTCTAGCAGTGTTGGAGGTAGTAACGCGGGTAGCATCGGACCTAGCAGTGTTGGAGGTGGTAACGCTGGTGGAAACTACGGTGGCAGTAGCTTTGGAGGTGGCAATGCTGGCGGCATTGGGCCGAGTTCTTTTGGAGGTGGAAATGCCGGTGGCATAGGACCAAGCAGCTTTGGAGGTGGAAATGCTGGCGGCGTTGGACCTAGCAGCAGTTTCGGAGGTGGAAATTATGCTCCCAGCAGTTTCGGGGTTGGGAATTCCCCGACTAACTTCGGTAGTGGTAATGCCCCCAGCAACTTCGGAGGCGGGCAGGGTGATCAAGATGATGGATCTGGCCATGGAGATCATTCTGCAATCCCTGGGGAGCCCGGAACTGACTATCCTATTTATTCGCAAATCCCCGTAACTTCATTCAAATGCTCTGACCAGCAATACCCTGGCTACTACGCCGATACGGAGGCAAGATGTCAAGTTTTCCACATTTGTCACAACAATATCAAGTACGACTTCTTATGTCCAAATGGAACTATATTCCACCAGCAATGGTTCGTTTGCGTATGGTGGAACCAATTCGAATGCAGCACTGCTCCTAGCCTGTACGGATTGAACGCTAACATTTATGATTACAGTAAAAATGGACAACAAGGCTCGGGACAAACAGGCAATTTCCCTAGTCAGTCCGGACCACAAGGACCTAATGCAGTCTATGGAGGTCAACAAGGACCTTCAGGTCCTGTGGCCAATTTCCCTGCTCAGGTAGGACCTCAAGGGCCAAATGCAGTTTACGGGGGTCAGCAGGGACCTACAGGTCCTGTTGCCAACTTCCCTGCTCAAGTAGGACCTCAAGGACCCACGGCATCATTCGGAGGCCAATCAGGGCCTCAAGGGCCCTCTGCCACTTACGGAGGTCAAACAGGACCAACAGGTCCAGTTGCCAACTTCCCTGCTCAAACAGGGCCCCAAGGCCCTTCCGCCACTTACGGAGGCCAAACAGGGCCAACAGGTCCGGTCGCCAACTTCCCATCAATAACCGGTCCGCAAGGTCCATCAACCTCGTTCGGTGGCCAGGCCGGTCCAACAGGCCCCGTCGCCAACTATCCGTCTATTACGGGTCCGCAAGGTCCCAGCGCCAACTTCCCGGTTCAGTCACCCGCCCCAACTTATGGCCCTCCATCAGGTGGCAATTTCCCTGCTCAGAGCCCCGCACCCTCCTTCGGCACAGGAAACTTCCCTGTCCAATCTCCCGCGCCTACTTACGGTCCACCCCAAACAGGCAACTTCCCAGCTCAAAGCCCCGCACCCACCTACGGCCCGCCTTCAGGAGGCAACTTCCCGAGCCAAACGCCGGCGCCAACTTACGGCCCACCATCCGTTGGCAACTTCCCGGTCCAAACGCCCCAATCTACTTACCGGCCACCGACAGGGAACTTCCCCTCTCAAACTCCCAGGCCCACCTATGGACCCCCTTCGACGGGTAACTTCCCTGCGCAAACACCGCGCCCTACCTACGGAACTCCCTCGGTGGGTAGCTTCCCAGCTCAGACCCCCAGGCCGGTGTATGGACCTCCTTCGACGGGCAACTTCCCCTCACAGACGCCTTCTCCCAGTTATACTCCGGGAACGGGAGGTAATTTCCCATCGCAGACACCCGCACCGACTTACGGACCACCCTCTGTCGGTAACTTCCCCGCCTCCACTTACAGACCTGGTTCTCAAGGAGGGACCGGCAATTTCCCAACCCCCGTACCCAGTCAAACGATCAGTCCTCCACCGGAACAACCAAATAGAGAGTATTTGCCACCGTATAGAAGATAGGACTTGTTGAACGATTTGCCATTAGAAACAAGTGATATTGCTTTTTTGCCTTAACTTATGTAGACTGGAAAAATCAAAAACTGACCTGCCAAATGTACATAATATGAAAATAAACTGCCACAAATTTTACGGATTTTTCCTTTATTTCAATAGGTATTTAATTTATTCTCGCATAATTTATTTTCATTCATGTCATCGGCTGAGTTTCGTACTTGTTGCCCTGATTTCTATGTCTTGCGGCTTGTGGCAGTTAGGTATTCTTGAAGCGTTGTGAAAATTTGAAATGGTACCAATTTTCGTCGTTCCTCAGACAAAAAAGCGTAACTAAATTTCAGCGTTGCAAAATCGCCACATGCAATTTTTACTTTCTCGTGGAAACTGTTGTGTGCATTACGAAGCAAAAATTGCCATTATGTGTCTCCTAACCATGAGGAAAAAACAGTAACATTTTGAACGGGTAAAAATATGAACAGTTTGAATCAATTTTGCAACTTTGAAATGAAGATACGTTCTTTGGGCTGGGAGCGACGACGACGAACTATGTAATTTTACACACAAAAACGTATCGTCTACCTCGTTTCAAAACGAAAATTTGGTTCATGAACCACGAAGTCTTTCAAGTAGGTAAAGCAGCTCCTTATTTTGTATTAAGTCTCTAGAAATGTTTGTAAGTAAGTTCAATACGTTGTCACATCATGGCTTTCCCTTCGCATGACGTTGAAACCGAGTCATTACCAAAGCTTCAAGGCTGATGTTTGTAAAATTTCGCCCTTCCTAATAATAAACAACAAAATGCGTCAGTGCACTTCCTAGAGGGGATCGAAGCATAAAATGTTTTAATATTTTACGCCTATACATTTTACTCCATTGTCTACGAATGTCTCGGAAAAAAGAAGGACAAATACAAATTTATCAGTTTTCTAACTTGTTAAAACATTATCGTTCAATCATAGATTTTGCACTTTTTACAAATCGTCGCTTAATTTGCCGAAAGAAAGTTTTTGCGAAAAACTTCACGAATATTTGCATTAAATTTCAGTTTTTTGATTCCCAAGGAACGATTTTCAACAAGATCCTACTAGCGACGATCACTTTGCACGGTTCAGAAAATTGTGATATTATTTCTTTTACAATATATTTTTACTTCTTTTAAATGTCTCGGATGTTATACTTTTATTACTTTCTTTAATTTTTTTTTTCAAGCACAAGTTTCATTTACCGAATTTTGATTAAATTGACAGTAAAAACAGTAAACTTCCTGCCCAATTTGCTCATGAAATTGAAACGCAATTTCAACTCTACCGCCTCCTCCTCCCTCCCCCACCCCCATTTACATATCCGACAGGCATAAACTTTGATGGCATTAGATCTTGTTGTTCGGAACCTGAAGGTGCATGGGATATTCTGGTTCATTGAAACATGCGTAACATGGACAATAGTTAAAACATTGGGCGAAATTAATAGAAATCAGGATGATGAGTTCAGATTTGTAAGAACACGTGTGTAAAATGGTAATACTGAATGAACTGAAATAAAATACTTTATTTTCTCTTATTTTTGTGCATTGATTCATTATACATCATTCCTATCTACTTATTTATTGAGAGGCAATTTTTCTGTCAACTTTATCATTCAGCATATCATAATGTAAAGCCGGAATAAAGTTAGGGTGAAGAGAAGCAATCAAGTTTCAGTTGCGTTCAGTGTCACGTGCGACGTGGGTAAAGCAAACGAAGTTCATCATAACGCCTGGATGCAACTATTCAAGCTCCATGGATGTCCGTGTTGCATACGCACACAACTGAAGGCGTTTTGATTTCAAACACCAACCGCCTCACCAGCGCCGAGCGAATCAATGCGAGAGGAGATAAGACAAATAGCAGCGATACAACGAAAGGATATTACACTCAAAAACTATTACTGCATAATCAATATTCAAACAAGAAATAATTAAAATTATTGCCTGGAGAGGCTGCATGTAATATACATATTTGACGGGTTAAAGGAAATTGCAATTGAAGTGAATTAGCTCAACTAGCTACAAAAACCGAAAATACCCTGATAATAAGAGGCTCCATTATTAGAGAAAAAAGCACTGATTGTCAGGAACACAAGAGTCATTCTGCTTACAATATCTCGTCAGCCCTAGCAAAAGTATCACAAGCGCCATGCGACGTTTAAAATTTTCTGCCGCCATTCTATTTTTAAAGAGAAACTGATGTTTGAATCTGTTTGAAAATGTCACTGAATTTTATCGGTAGCTTAAAGAAAATGCGGTGAAATTTTCGGACGGTTTCCTTGAAAAAGTTCTCCGAAAATAAATGAAATAGCGCCGGAATTGTTTGAACGTCGCGTGGCGCTTGTGTTACTTTGGCCATAAGATGACGATCTAGACTTAAAATAATTAGTTTGATGCACTCGCTGAAACATACTTAAAATAAATCACGACCGCACTAAGGTTCGTCATGGAGTTTCTGATTGGCCGGCGATGCAGTTTCCATTTCCACTGACCTACGACTCTTGCATTCGGGGCAAAAATAAAAACGAAGAAATATGTCCTCAGCTTCATTGGTAAAAAAATTAAGAAGTGAAAAACTATAGATGTATCGCAACACCAGAGAAAGTATCAACGCCGTTAATGAGGAAAAGTAGACGCGTACGCCATCTACTGGTTGAATTCTGAACCATCATCAGTCTCCCCCTTCACCACCCCTCTCTCCGGCCGAGAGATAAGATCGCGTCGCCACTCAGTCTGGCTAGTTCGACCTTGACGCCTCTAACCAATAGTGCCGCCACTGCTGCGAGGAATCTGCCGTGGCGCCTGGCGCTTGGGGGATTTGGTCGCGCTCTCGAGATTCTTTCCATTGTTTCCTTCTTCTTCCCCTACTGACCTACTCCAGCCGACCACCCACGCACATCTCATGAAATTAGTTCGCGCATGTGACTACACGCTAATTCTTTCACAACTACAGCGTGTGAAGGGTGAATTTAATGTAGTTTTTGACGAGGAATCCGAATCTCACCTCAGATTTGGGGTAGCGCATCATTTACTTCACTTTATACATAGTTTTTGATACTAAAGTTTATGATATGGCAAATAATTATTTTATAAAAGTGTGTTTACAAATACGCAAAGCTTCATGGAAAGGGGGGAGGGGGGTCTGAGCCTACGATACGATGAGTGACGGGGGGATGGATGGAAGTTCAAGATCGCGTTACGTAGATGAAAAATCAAGAAGAGGTGGCAATTTTCATGATAAATTCATCATCAACGTGCCATAATTTTTTTTCTTTTTCTTCTTTCTTTTTCCTTTTTTTTGTGAGGGGGCGGATCTATATTACGTGTGCGTTAAGTACTAGAAGAAGGAGGTAAGGTAAAAATTTCAATTTAAGTAGGTACTACATTGTATTGTATGAACGGCCCTTAAGGACTTCTTGACCACCTACCTAAAATGATTTGATATGTATTTTAAAAATTCTCCACCATACGCCTTACTGCGTTGCCTAGAGAGGGTGAGCTGTTCATTTACGACGTATCATTTCGTTCATTTTTATTTGTAGCTCATCAGTATGTAAAAATTCACTCCTCGGGCGTGACAGAGAATAATTAACTGCGACTAAATTGAAAATTTACTTTTAAAGAAACTTACCGCAATAACTAGGCAGCGTTTAGTGAGAGGGAAGCATCTTGTATTACAAATTAGAGAGCTGCTCATGGGAGATGTTGAGTACAATTTTAGATTTTCTTGTGGATCTTCATTATTAAATCATGATGGATGCGCTGATTTTGTCAATCGTTCAAAAAAAACTTCTTAAACATTGTAAGAGCATATTCATAAAATGCACGTAAAAAATTACCAAATACACTTTAAAAGTACCTTTAAATTTGGAGGTTTCAAAAATATGTTGAAAATGATTTTATTCCGTGTTTGATTTTGAAACCAAACATAAAAGCTATTAAAGCTTTTAGCTATTCTCTAATAATTTGTCTCTTGAAAATTAAAAAAAAAAACAAAAAACTTTTTTACTATATAGATTTTCGGTGAGCTCTTAGAATACGATCATTCGACGAGTTTCTATACGAAGTTAGGGGACATTCGAGGACATGAAAATACATCGACCTCCTGATAAAATGCCCCATCATCTTCCAGAGATGATAAGTTGGTTTTGAAGGCCAAATAAAACTATAAGTCATCAATGTTCCAGGAAATATATCGAGTCACTTCCTGGCGCTCCGAGGGCTGAGTGGGCTCCGTCCCGTCGTGGATAAGTGTCACATGCTTCACGAAAGATAAATACCAGTCTTGTTACGCAAATCTTTACAAATCGATACAAGTTGTAAAGAATCTAAAGGGGCTCTTGTGTCGAAAAAGCACACATCGAGAGCTGAGGGAACGCCGCCGCTCGTCCCAATCCGATGAGAAAGTCTTGTTCGGCCGTGCGATTGGGGGGTTAAAACAAGGTGGCATTGTTGTCAAGTTTCAAAATACAGAATCAAAAAGGCTCTGAAAAGATGAGTATACAATCGGACTGCATTTTGCAATTTGGAGCTTAAAATTCCGGCCCGGTTTAAAAACAACGTATGTGCCATTAGTTTCCCTATGCACATAAGTGTTTTTTCAGATGAGCCAGAATTTATAGGTAGTCCAATTCGTTGTCTCCCTCACGAAAGAACGTTACCCCCCCCCCGCAAATCGCGCGTAATCGAGAGAATTTTGGGCATTTCAAACTGAAAATGTCACTAATTTTTCCTCAGATTCCTTGCAAAAATCAGAAAAATTTTGGACTAAAATGCACGGGTTTTGTGTGAAATAAAGTAAATTGTATAAGTCAATGTGGCAACCTTGGAATGGAGTTAAGTTCTTTTGTGCGGGAGACGACGAATTGGACCGCTTTAGGCAAAAAGGAACTAAGTCACATCAGCTATTGCCAAATTTGATTGGGCAATTTAATTGTTTACATGAAAATGATTGTACGGATTTTTGAGCTTTCAGTGAACTTTCTGCATTGTACGAAGCAAATTACTTAAAGTTTTCAAAGGAATCCGTACAAACATTCTCTTGTAGAAAATCAAATTTCCCGGTTAAATTTGGCAATAGCTGATGTGGCTTGGTTCCTTTTTGCTAAACGTCGTCCAATCACACGCAGGGCGATGGTCAAAAGTACAAAACCACGTATCTCCGTTTGCGACGTTGCAAAATCTATGTCATTCTTCATGTTTCTTCTTTGGAAAACATGGTCAGCGTAATTTTCTGGAAAAATTGATCCCTTATGCAGAAAATTCCGTAATAAATTTCGAGGTATGAAGTTGACTTGTTTCTCCCTGAAGAAATAAAATAGGAGCGGAAATTTTGAAACATCGTGGGGAGATACGTGGTTTACTGATGGATACGTGGTTTAGTCGGAGATACGAAAGATTTCTCTGCAAAAAATAATCGATGAAAATCGATTTGAACCAAATCGATTAAAGGGTGAACATCGATTTTTGTACGTCTGTGTATAGTCTCTCTTCCGGAACTGTAAGTTTAACGATTGGATATAAATAAAATAAGATAAAATTTACAAAAATAGCCAAAAAATGGCAAAATTTTATCGATTCAAGGAAAAACAATATTCAATTTCATCGACGTAAGTAGCTGGTTAAAAAATATATTTTTTGATCGAATAGATTGACCCGAATTCTAACCGCACTATCAGTCCTGATTACTCACAGCCTTGCAACTGTCTTACGAGATACTCGAGCTGACCCTGATTTACAGTTGAATCGGTCATTCTCAAAAATACTTGAGCGCAAAAAGTGAATCTACGAGAAAAACGGTAATCACCATCTCAATTGATCCGTTCTAAATCTCAGAGCTCTAAAATATTAAAGCAATGAACTAATTGATGACATTTTTAACCAATCTACGATTTTAAACGGGGCGTTTAATGCAATTTCCACTGTTTTTCTTGCATTTTCGTACACGGCGCTTAAGTCTTTTTGAAAATGACCGATTCAATCCTCCTCATCACGTTCAAAGCCCTTCAATACTAGAGTTTTCCCCTTTACCGGCTCAAGGTCAATAAACTCGATAACCCATCGATCGATTTCCAATACTGAGCCCCCAGATTTGGCAGCTTACGTAAAGAACGCGGCTAATTCTGAGCAGTGAAGCGCGGCGGGCGACGCGTCACCAGATTCCGCGCATCATCGCTCGACGCCGACAGTGGCAAACACTACCATCACGACCCTGTCTCCGGAGCTTTTTTCGATGCGCCCGCACAATATCGCCCCCGAAAAACACGTCTCCTCCACGCGGATCGCTCGCTTCACACCGAGGGATGGCAACGCCATCCATTTTCGGGGCCGGCACGTTAAGTATGTGTTTTTCATAAACCTCTCCGGTCTGGAAGAGGATCTCCGATTTCTCGATCGACGCATCCTCCTCCCTCCTCGCGTTACGTCACCCCGCCCGGCAACGTAACGGGCCAATGACGCTATTGACACACGTTACTCCGATTCGATTCAACGTAACGCCGCACGGTGGATCGAGTCAATAGGAGAGGTCGGACAAAATTAGGAAACTTCAAAGGCTCATAACTCCGTTTATACGAAACTTTGAGGTTCTAAGAGTGGTTCCATTGGTTTCCTCGTGAAATTTTCTTCCGGGGGTACCCCATGAAATTTAAAATGTGACGAAATAAACATCAAAATTTGTAGTTTCAGTCAAAAATTTCATGTCCGACCTCTCTAATTGACTCAATCCACTGTGCGCCGCACGGTGGATCGAGTCAATGGAGATGTTGCATGTGTGAGGAATTTGCGATTTGACTGTTGATTCATATGTAAAAGTTCGCGAGAAACACGATGATGCCACTGGTTTTCTCTGAAATCAACTCCCAAGCTCAAAAAAAGCTCTCAAGTTGAGGCCAAAATGGAGGGGATATCCCACCCTACCCTGAGAGTCCACCTCTACATCAAGACAAACTCTCCATGCAAAGATAGGGAGCAAATACATTGACAGGGCTGCCACTTCATTTAGGGACTCTCAAACTGAAAACACGGCATCACTGCTGATGTATTTGCTCCCTATCTTTTCATGGAGAGTTCGTCTTGATGTAGAGGTGGACTCTCAGGGTAGGGTGGGGTATCCCCTCCATTTTGGCCTCAACTTGAGAGCTTTTTTTTGAGCCTGAGAGTTGATTTCAGATAAAACTAGTGGCACTATCTTGTTTCTCACGAATTTTTACATTAAAATCAACAGTCAAATCGCAAATTCCTCACACATGCATTGCAACATCTCCATTAGAGAGGTCGGACATAAATTGTTTAACTAAAGTTGCAAATTTTGATGTTTATTTCGACACATTTTAAATTCTAGGGAGTTATGCAGAGAAGAAAATTTCACGAGAAAACCAATGATACTACTTTCAGAACCTCAAAAGTTGTACAAGCTGAGTTTTAAGCCCTTTAAGTTTCAAAAATTTGCCCAACTCCTTCTATTGACTGCATCCACTGTGCGTCGCACGGTGGATCGATTCTTTTGCAGAGGTCGGACGTGGCATTTAAGACCGAAACTGCAAATTTTGATGTTTAAATCGTCACACTGGAAAAGAAGTTACGGACTATACGGACATACCGTCCGTTCTGGGTGCAGAAGCCGACAGTTCCGGGTACTGGAGCCGTAGCTTCGACTACTCCAGAAGCTACGTCCGAAACTTCCTGCCTCTGAGCTTGTGACACGGACAGTACGGCTGTATAGTCCGTAAGTGCGGCTTCCACGCCCGGAGTTTTTTTCAAGTACATTTTAAGGGGTTGAAGGGTTTAAATAAATTATTTTCAGGCGAAAAATTTTGAGAGAAACCAGAGGAACGACTTTTAAAACCTCAGTCTTTTATATTAACTGAGTAAGAAGCTTTTTTGTCCAACTTCCCCATGGACTTGTTCCACTGCGCGGCGGTCAAACCATGAAGTTCTCTCGTTATTGTCTCTCCGTTCTGGAAATGACAACGGACAATATCGGATTTCGTTTGATAGAATATTAAATTTTTTTGGGAAACTTGAGAATACTTTTCCTCCAATTTTTCAGGTTTTTTTTTGAGCGGGATGTTTGAGTTCACAATGTATACTTGCAAATAATTACGAGCGTTTACTGCGCTCGCTACCTTGATAGTTGATTTTGAATAGTGCATACATATGCTTACATAATTTTATATCTGAATTTAATGTTATGTTTTTATCATGTTTTGTTTATTTTTTTGGTAGTAACTCAGAACTGACGGACGTGAGATTAAATGGGCCTTGACCCTCGGTGAGCGGTTTTATCTGTATTTGAATATGCGCTGGGGTTACACACCAAAGCCAAGTTGCTACATTAACATTTGAAAAAATGTAGGAGATGAATTGATAAATGATATTTCCAGTAGTAAAATCTGGAAAAATGTTCCTTTATCATGATTACACGATTTATTCAATACACGATCCATTCGATGATTTCTTAGAGCAACACAATAAATATACTGGTCTCTAATTTTGCGTATATTACGAAACTTGCAGTTCAAGGGTCATAGTTAGGAGATAATAGCAGGTATAAATGTTAATGTGCCTTTACAATAGTATCCACCTCATTGAACATTCTGTAACGCAGGTTGTGTGAATTCGTTACTCATTCGTCAAAATACGATAAAAACATGGTTTTCAACCGCAGCAGCCTGCTCCTTCTTCTCCTTGCAACCTTTGTAGCAACGGTAAGTGCCCTTCCTTTGGCTCTTACTTGCGCGCCAAAAATCTGCTTGACAAGCTGTTAATAATACGCATAGTTATTTCACATTTATCGCTGTGTATTTTATTTTTGTAACACATCTATCGTGAAACTACCAAACCACGTTTCTCGGTTTGCGACGTCGCAAACTTCCTTTCACACTTTTTTTTTTAAAATGGAAAACTACTCAATGTCCATTCTCGAAAACTTCCGTGATTTTTTCTCTTCGCGCGGAGAAAACTCTGAGCAGAATTTATCTAAAATTTTCCTTTCTTTTGTGAAAATTTCAAGAAATGATATTGAGCTGGTTTACTTCAAAAAAATAAAATGTGAGCGGAGATTGTTAAACACCGCAAACGAGATACGCGGTCTGGTAGTCTCACCGTCGACATACAGGGCCGGATTTACCTACTTACCGCCCATGGGCCGCCTGTATTTTGCCGCCCCCTTCGCATTGGTTTTGAAGCATCAATAAAAAGCATCAAGTGAACGTGCCAGCGGGGGTGGGGTGCATAAGACGCGTTTACTCGTGTTGGAAGCATCTTTTGGGAAAGCCCTGTCAACACTAGTAGCAAAAATTCACCGAACTTTGCGCGAACGTTAAGTTTCGTAAACCTATCTCTGCGTGGACAAGGCCTTCCATTCATAAGAAATGAACGAAAAAATTATGAAAGAGCAAACATAAATGTGGTTTATTGATTTTAACTTCCGTCGCCGCACCGCACAGACCGCACCGTGTTTGGAGCAATGCGTGAAGTATTCCGACAGTTTTGTAAGCGCTATGAGTTTCACGCCGACGACCGCTGCTGAACGCCTTGTGTTTGACGCAACGCGTGAAGTATTCACGCAGTCTTGTAGGCGCTATGCGTTTCACGCTGACCGCACTGTGTGTTTGGCGCAATGCGTGAAGTATTCATGCATTCTTGTAGGCGCTATCCGTTTCACGCTGACCCGCTGACCGCACTGTGTTTGATGCAATGCGTGAAGTATTCGTGCAGTCTTGAAGGCACGTAGGCGCTAATATGTGTTACATGCCGACTGCCGCGCCGAGGGCTTCTCCTTTACATCTCAAGTCCTCGTCATCATTTCTCTCTCAGTCGCGCCGTTCCTGGCCAAATTGCGTGTTTGGTCTCTCTTAACTCGATTAATTAAAGGTGCTGTCTCTTGTATCACCGAAAGACGACAAAATTAAAAATTACTATACTCTCAGAAAATGAGAGATTTTGTTTCTAATTTTTTTCTAAATCCGATTTTTTTTATACCTACATTTAAAAAAATTGCAAAATGTGCCGCCTCTTTGATTTGCCGCCATGGGCCGCGGACCATGTGGCTACCCCCTTAATCCGGCCCTGTCGACATATAGTCTCTGAAGCTTAAACTCTCAGATTATCTCCTGCATACCATGCGGACGTCTGTGATTCTTCGGCATTATGCACGCATAACGGAGCTACGTGTGGGTTTTCTTCTTTGGGAATAACCGTTTCATCTTACTTTTATTATATTTACATATTTTTTATTTAGATATAACTTTTATTTTTTTTTCTCTCGTTTATTTTGGTGATTATCTGACTTTTTCTTTTCAAATACCACATAGTTATGGGGCACGAAAAGTGCCCAAGACTGGTCATTGACCTTTTTTAAGTCCCTAAAATCGCATAAAATCCTGAGTGGGGAGGGGGAAAATAACTTGATTTTTTATGACTGTTCCAGGTTGTATGTGAATGCACTTCAGGAAATATTGAAAGTAAAAGTTTAGACCAAATGGGTGAAACCGCTAAGAACGACGTGAATGCGTTCCTCAAGAAACTGCTAACAAGTTACAAAGATCTGGGCCCTGAGGCTAAGGCGAAGGTGGCTGCAATCTCCAAAGCAATGGAGGAGCAGATGAAGCAAATAGTGAATATCACTAAACTTGATACGAAAAACACTGGCAAAGTCACGGGCATTTTTGGATAGGTACCTAGCATGCGTCAAAACTATGAATACTTAGACTTCATTTTGGAAAAAGGAACTATTATCTCTGGCTCACCGATAAAAACACTTATCTGCTTAGCAAAATTAAAGGCACAAAACGATGGCTGAAGAAGAGGACCACCTAACTACAATTTTGGCGAAAATGAGTTAGGGACAGTGCCTATCATTCTACAGTATAAAATATGTACGCAAGCTGATATTTTTAGTTTTTTCCTATTGCTCCTTAACCATTGATAAGTCGTGAAATGAGTCAGAGATATGTATTAATTCTGTATTGCAAACTGTAATCCATGCACATCAGCCGTGCAGCCAACCTATAACGGCAAGTTTGTATCATGGTTGGGAATAGGAATAAAGGGGATGAGGGGGATCGATATTGGATCAAGTTTTTTTTTTACTAAAACAGTGGGATATTTAAAATTCTATAGTGGCTAAATAGACTTGCATACGGAAAAGAGTTTGTGTATAATTACAGATGGTTTTATATTTCCATTACTGGTTTTTCATGATAAAGAAATTTTAAATGAACATTCAAATTATTCTATGACTTTTTATTTCGTGGTCCTAATTTGTGTTTTCACACAGTTTCCTTTTCGAGTTTCAATATTGAAATAAAGAGAGAAATCATTACATTGTCAGTACAAAAATATTCATCGTTTTTTTTTTTTTTCTTTCTCAATAATAAATATTTCATTAAATTGAATGTGACAACATTCCAATGTTCTAACAGTGTTTCTCTTCAGAGTAACAAGTTACAATTTATTATTTGTAATTTGGGCTCCCTCCAATACTTCCTATATTCTGAAACTGTACAATTTTCCATGCAGCCTTATTTTGGGTTTACAAGAGTCATCCTCTTCCATTGTCAGGCACCTCTAGACCTCTCCCTCCTTCTAAGTGCCTAACATACCTTGTGGCTTATTTCTGGGACTTTACTAACTTAATTACAGCCCCATGTCAGTCATCAATTTTAAACCTGTTTGGCTTGAATTAAAAATATAAGTAAATAAACTTCTAATGGGCACCACAAATAAAGTAAACATTCTTCTCTCAGATGGTATTTTCCTGACATCGTTGATTTTTCTCATTAATTAGTGATTGAAGGCAAGGAGGCATTAGTTGTTGATGATGGTAGGAACAGTCCTACAAAAGGGGAGTATTTGAAATTTAATATTTTAAAATTGCACTCAATACTTTTCAAAATTAATATTCTTAGTATTAATATTATGGGCAGTCATATTATAGACTCAGAGAAGAGCCCAAGATATTTTCTATTTTAGTTTGTAATATGAACTTGAAGCGAAAATAAATTAACAAATTATAGATATGTGAATTAAGTATTTATTGATTTTTTTTTTTTCAGAGTACTTTGGTTAAATATAAAATAGGTAATAAATATACAAAATGTAAAATGAGGATTCAAATTTTAGCACTGGTAGAATATAGTGGAAAATATATGCAATTGTGCCAGCAACAAAAATAGGATAATGTCTTTGGGAGTTTGTAAAATATTACAACTACTAACTTTGACACGAGGAGCAGTAAAGTAAACGAAAGACCTGAAAAACTGGCAGCAAGTAACAAGAAGGAGAAAAAATTCTTTCTTTTTAATTAAAACTCCTGCAGAATCTGATGAAAGACTTTCTAAAAATTACATTTAGGGTAGTAAATCCGTATTCTAAAAAATTAAGATTTCTACTGATGAATGCACCTAAGTAACCACTTTTACACGCTTACAAGCCTAAAGAAAATTAATCACAGCAAATTGAAATTAGAGACTCCTCAGATGGCTAAAATGAAGCGTTGTTAGAGGAGACATTAAAGTTTTTGGAATTTTCATGACGTGTTGGCAAGTGCTCTTTTTCTCTCAAACTTTGATGAATTTGGATAGAGCCTTAGATATTGACTAGACAGAGTGACAAGGAATTAGTCTAACTACATTAGACGTTGCCTAATTTTCTCTTAATTTTTTTTTCAGTAAACTAAGGAACACTGATATTTGAAATGTTGTGAGTATTTAGTTACAATTTAGGCTAAATAGGTATTTGCAGGAAGTTTAAATTCGTTAAGCAATTTGGTTTTATTTTAAAAAATAAAATATGAGAGAAAATTGGGCAACACAAAATGCTGTTAGTCTGACTCCACTTAAATCGGTCCAACTTTAATTTTTGAACTTGATCTTACATCATGGAAGATGGTAAAGTGCACTTCATCTCCCTGTAAAACATCAGAGACACTATTCATTTTGACAAATCAGTAAAAAATTATACTGAAAACATTCCTGAGACAGCACAATTTAGTAAAAAAATAAAGTGACCCAGGTCCTATTTTTCACTTACCTATTTCAACACCTGATACCACAGATTATATGCACCATTAAAAAGAAAAAAAGTGTGAGGGAATTGACTTACAATCAGCACTTTCTTGATTTAGGAAGGATTGTTGAAACACTTTAGTTGTAATTTATTTCTTGTGGTGAACTTTTTCAGAACTTCATCGACAACTCTGCAAATGAAAAAAACAGAAGTTACAATTAAAAGAATCAATATACAAGAACTTACATTCCTATAATGATAATTGAAAGAGATGCTTCGATGCTAAAACTTATGAAATTTCTGCTTGGGCAGTGAATAAAATTAGCTTTGATGAGATGAGGCTCACTTTGAATTTCCTGTGCTCCCATAAAACATCTGAGATTGGAGGAAGTAACTTTCAGGATGCGCAAATTGTGGCTAAATGTAAGGTTATCCTGCTGAGTTCGACAAATTTTGAAAGCCTCAGCCTCCTACATAAATTTTTTTCTAAAGAGATCAAACCTGAGGTTTTGAAACATTGATTTTTGACAATAAAGTATATTTGTACGTACTTAACTGGAACTAGCTTAACTTTGTTTGCCTATTTTTTTTTAGGTTGTATTTTTTAAATTGAAAACTGAGCAACACAGAATCTTAAAATAGTGCCGGTATTTTTTTCATGATCTAGGGTAAATTTGCAATAACTTTGAAGTAAGTTGAGAAATGTAGTTCTCTTTTGAAAAAATAAAACGTAAGAGAAAATTAAGCCACATGAAATGCAGTTAAGCTAATCTTAGTTAAATCCGTCTAAATATAGATTGCATAAAAACTACAACCTCAAAAGGACCATGAAAGTGATTTTACTCAAACTCATCTACAAAAATACACATTGAGACAATACCTCAGTCCTAATAGGCCTGTTGCAAACCCTGCCTGTTGCTAGAGCAAAAATAAGGGTTGTTTCTTATAGATAAGGGCTCAAAAATCACGATGAGCGCATCCGCAAAGTCTGAAATGCACTTCTAACTTCACATTCTGCGTAAGAAGTTCACGCTTTTTTGAGCTTCCTGCTTCAAAAAGATGCTACGGTATAGGTGAACATTTTGATAGAGGAGTCGTTCCTTCCGACCTCTGTGCAGTAGGGTACTGCACAGTATTCAACATAGTCGATGCCAATCCGCCACAACTGGCCAAGACTCATGTGCCCGGACAAAATTTTAACCATTTGTTAACAGCCTGGCGAGTTTACATTCACGTTTTGCTCCCGTTGATAAAGATCCGTCTTAATAGCTTGGGTTGTTGAGTATTGCAAAGAATTTTAGTGCGCAAGGATTGAATGGAACGACTCCTCTAACGAAATGTTCACCTGTGCCGTGGTATCGTTTCTGAAGCGGGAAGCTCCAAAAAACTCAAATTCCTTACACAAATTGTGAAGTTAAGAGTGCATTCCAGACTTAGCCGATGCACGATTTTTGACCAATTTTCTATAAGGAACAACTCTTATTCTTGCTCTAGCAAAAGTTTGCAAAAGGCCCATTATGATGGAGATAACAGGACTTGCCTCACAGTAATTTGTACGTAGATTTAACTCTGAGTTGCGACTAATTTCCATTTCCTAAATAAAAGACAATTTTCCATCATGGAAGTCGATGGATACTGCACTGTAAGGAGTGAAGGCAAAGAAATATTTTTCCACCTATTATTACTGAGATATATGGTACCTTCTCAATATTTTTAGTTGCAACAGTTTTGGTTTATGTTTATTCTTGACCTAGCAGTTCCATTATAAAAATGTTCCAGAAAAATTAAGAGGATGTACATATATATTGAAAAGAAAAAAGACTTACTTCAAATCAAATGGATCATCAAGTGGAGGAATGGTTTCAAGAGCCTCATTGAAGTACAATCTGGGAGGAAGAGAAAAAAATATCAATAATGACAAAGAATATGTTATGGAGTAAATCAAGAATGGGGAAGTGTGCATTGACTTATTGTTAGTCAAAGAGGAGAAAGAAACGTTAAGCTCGGAGTCATTTAAGCTTTCTTGAAGTCACACTCAAAAGAATAACACGTCTTCCAGAAAAAAGTAAATGGAGAAAAATTTTAAATGAATAATAAATTTCAAACATAACACCATTTTTCTTTCCTTTTTTCATGAGCCTCCCTCATTAAACAGCAATTGAGAAGGGTTTGTAGGGAGGGTCCATGAAGTACCTATGGGTGAGTTTATTCCTTCTATTCACCTTATCTGGACCAGCAGGAGGTGGCAACACTCACAGCTTCGCTGCCACTTGTTGAGACAATGGCTATTCAGTAACACAAGCACTCCTAAACCATTATGGACCCTCCCCCCAGAACCTCCCTTTATTGTGCTGTTTTAATTCAAGATGCTACTTCGTCCTGCAATGAATGAGAGAGGGTCCGTTTCGTATGTTATACAATTAAATGTTATAAACTACATTTGAGCAATTTTCTTGAAAATTGGTCTAGTATTCAGGGCCACGATTAAGAGAAGATAAAAAGCTTGTAAGTGATCAAAACTCACACAGCATTTTTTGTTGAAAAGTGTTGCAAGGTTTGCTGGATGGCCATAATGTCTATTCTGGCTTGCTGGTTCCCAGCAATACTAAATTTGGTTACACAGGACATTAGCCGCGACAGTTCTTCAGCTACTATTTCAACAATTTGAGAGATCACAGGATACACCAGGGATGGAATCACTTTGTAAACCTGAGAAAACATACAGAAAATCGTAGCATTACTGACCTAATAGACTGAGTTTTTCTTAAATTCTTCAAGTTGCATGTAGAAACCCAATGGAATTATTATATTATTTTTTAGGAAAAAAGAGAGAGAGATGAAACAGGTTAAAAGGCCGACCTTGTACAATACTTAAAAAGAGCTTCAGGTACACTTTCAGAGTTTTCCAAGAAAATTCCACTATTTTGGAAGAGAAACCGATGCATATTTTCTTTTAAAATTGTTACAGGTTTTACACATGATGAGGAAAAATCAATAAAAATTCCAAAGTGATGTTCATTGACTTTTCTTCCAAAAATTGAATAGGTAAGGCAAAAGCTTTGCAATACCGCTTAGAGATATTTTGTGCAGCTTTCGCCATCAATATGTGAAAACAAACAAAAAGGAACGGATAAGTTTTTTTTTTTCTTTTTTCTTTTTGTCAAAGCCACAGTGACCTAGATACATTATTTACTTTCATCTTTTCCAAGTGACCTATACTTTGTCAATGTTGTATTTGACTCAGAGTGTATCATTGTATCTTAACAATTACTAGCTCCTATTGTCATTGGACTCCTTAGAGGAAGAGAAAATAATGATACTGTGAAGAGAATATAAATGCTCACCTCAGAATGTACGGTGATAATATTAGAAAAGATTATCTCTTTGGCATAGGGACGGATATCAGTAGGCGGAAGACATGTATCCCAGTCAAAATTGCCGATGTACATAGAAGGCTCAATTGTTCCAACTAATGGGTCGCTCTTTTGTTCTATATATGTATCTAAAATCCTTTTTTCTAAGTGTTTAAATGCCATTTCTGCTTCTTCAAATGGTTCACTAAGGCGAGGGAATCCATGACGTTCAAATAGATTAATGAAACGTGGAAAAATTGTCAAGCGCGTATGTCGACAATTGCTTAGAGTACAAAGCAGTTTCTGTTCATACACTGCTCCAAAAGAGTCTTTATCCCGACTCTGAGATGAAGAACCGATGAGCTGCGAAACACCGAGCGTATGATCACCATCTTCATTGGTCAGTCCAAGATTATCTAATGCCTCCACAAAATTCAGTAATAATTTCAACACGAGTCTATTTAGATCTTTTTTAGCAGCTGGGTTGTCTAGAAGAGGTGTTTCTCGCTGCTCTGCTATTATAACAGAGTCTTTCACTAATTGCATGACTTCTGCAACTAAATTTTCAAACATACTGGGAAGCTGAGTAATGCCTCCATTTTGGTCAAACTCTATCTGCCAATTTTCCTTCAAACCGAGCGTTTTTATTTGCTCTGCCGCTTGACAAAGGAGAGTACTCATGCAGTGTAACCTTAGATCAAAGACTAAAGAGGAGAAGATATTTAAAGCATCACTTGGTAGATCTAAGGCAATTAATGTTGAGTACGCGGCACGTATGTACCGCAAACAATGAGGAAGCCACGTAGAGACAGAGTCTGAGGTTTTATGGTGTTGAGGCCACTGCTGATTTTTATCTACGGTGTGTGGAAGTAAAGCAGACCTTAACAGAGTGCACACGAGGCTAATGATAGAGAGCACAATTCCTTTGAACTCTTGTGGACGACCTGGATCTATTTTTATTTGAAACTCTCCACTAAAATATGACTGCCCAAGTTTCCACAGGTCCGGGAATCTTTGAGATAGTATTTCGGTGAGTTCTTCTACACAGAGAACGGGTTGAGGAGTTCTGTTTAGAAGCTCAACATTGTATGTCCCACTGGCAGCTCTTTTGTGCTTGTGTTTATGATGGGAGTCTAAGTGTTTGGATGAGCCATCCATATCTGCACTTTCAGCCTTCAAATGTTCTGTTTTACAGGCAATCAACTGCTCATTGAGAAAATTTGAGTGCACTGTGATTGCTTTCCATCCAGGGTCATCTGCAATTTCCAAATTTACTAGGTTACGAATTGTCTTCTTTTGCTGGTCAAGGCCAATGCTCATATCTTCCAGCTTCTTCCACAGCATTTCTCGCAATTCACTGATTTTAAGTTCAACTTCGGCTAGAACTTTCTTAAAAACTGCAACATCAGTTTTACCAAAAAGGTTAAGAGCTCTATCATAATCGTTGATGACAACATCTATTTCTCCTTTTTTCACATTCCGCTCAATACTTCCAGGCAAGTAGAAGAGGAATTTAAACCGCTGCATGACATTTAAGGCATTGCGAGTGGCATCTGCTTTTTCTCTTCGCGCAAGAACATCATGAAATAATTTTTCAGCTTCACTGATTGATTCTGAAACAAAAAGAATTACAATGTACTAACAGTAAGATGATACGGCCCAAGTATTTTTTCCATTAGTTTGCCATTGTTAACTAACTGATTGAGAAACATTTTGATGGATCAAATTTACAAATGATAATAAAATATTAGGTGTTTTGATAGAGAGAAAGAGCTCCCCTCCTTTCAAGTAAGATATACAATTTTAGAAGTAAAAGGCAATGAGATAAGTGGTGGATATGATTTGACCCAAACATTTATTAAAAACAAAAATGAAAAAAAATTACCTATGTACCTTAATAACCTTACAATCTTTCAGAAAAGAGGAGCCAACCCTATAAACTTTGAAATTTACAGACGTGGTTTCTTCCTTAGTTTATCGAACTCCGCAGTGTGACACTATAGCAGATGATTTTTCATACTTGCAAAATTGATAATGTATCATCAGGACTGAAGATAAACTTAGTTTCTGTAACTGTGAGCAAGTTCTAATACTCGAGATCACAAATACTACCGCAGGGATGTATGTGTAAAAGGTATCAAAATGTGCCATTGAGCATGCTCACCTCTGAGTGCTCTCAATCTGCGTCTACTTTAGAAAACTTAATCTAAGGCAGAAAATTTGAATATGTTCTTTCTACAGGTATTGTTGATGTGTCACTTTCCGTTCAGATTATGAAAAAAGAGAAATATGAAAGATACCTTCAATTGCTTTTTCAACTTTGATGGTAGGGTCAATGTCTCTTGCTTTCAAATCAGCTTCAAATTTTTCCTTCAATATGAAAAGGGTATCCAACTGCTCCATTACTGATCCAATATTTGACTGGAAAAATAAATCCAATTATTCACGGGTTACCTTAATTCATAAAAGAAAACTACACTCACATGAAACTTTTTAGTGGGTAAAAATATGTATTTGTTGGATGAAATACCCTTAAGAGACATTTATTTACTTTATGAAAGTAAGGGTGGAAACAGATACGAAGATCAATGAGTGTTTGCTGAATTAATGATACTTCTACTAAGAAAATGCTATCAATTACCAAGGGCAGAAAAGAAAAAGAAAAAATCATTTGTATTCAACACTTCCTACTCCTTAGTTTCTGTGGAAGGAAAGGATTTTTGACTAAAAAAAAAGCTCTCCTTCATAACCTGATTCCTTTCATTACTTTATTACTTTTTCTGATTCATATAAGCTATATGTTCCACAATTTTTCATTTAAGAAAAAAGCTAAGATGAAGTTTTTAGATTTTGCTGGATTAATCTACCTTTCTAAAACTTGAACGGAAGATTGATACGGGTAAGTTATGTTATGTAATTTTAATTTTATTTACCTATTATCAATTTTTTTTCTTTTCAGACAAAAGCAATAAAAATTACCTTCAAGAAAGAGATCTGGCCTTCTTTCTGGCCCTCAACTTTTCTCCGCAAGAATGAAAGACCTACTCTGAGATCATCAAAGGAGGTAGCATGATGATGTTCTAGCAGAAACCAACCAGGCTCAAAATTTTCAGAGGATAAATCCCCGCTGCATTCTGGAAAGAGCTCGTGTAAATCTTCTTCTGGAAACTTCTTTCTGTAAGTTATCAGAGCATATTAGTTAAAGAGAATATAAACTTAATGCTTTCCAATTCTTGGGGAGAATGAAAAAAAAGTCAGTGATCAAGAAAAAAATAACTGAGTTTTCAAGTCTTAAAATTTTCGAAGCAAATCTGTTTAAATTAAAACTATTGGTGTTGGTGATTTTACAATTATCAATTGAGGGGCTTGGAGGGCAAGGCGCATAAGAGCAGTTTTTGCCATTTCGAGAAATATGTGTTTGAATTTTCGAAATTACATGGATCCTTGTGGCGGAGAGAAAGTTCAAACTGACTTGGTGATACTCCAAAATTGGAATTTGGGAGCGAATTTTTGACAGAATATATGTTAAGACTAGTTTTACGTACTGAAATCATTAATATCTCAGTTTTTTCAAAAACTGCACTTATGCGCCTTGTCCTCCAAGCCCCTCAATTGAGAGTCATGCAATAAAGTTGAGCTGGTGTTTTGTATTCTTTTTTTTCTGAGGTTTTGTTTAAAGATTTACATTTTAGCATTATTTTATTTTATCATTTCATTTGATTGCTTTCCTTTGCATATAAATATTCTTAAAAAAAGATGTTAAGAATTAGGTATTTTCCCTCAGCTAAGTATGTCAACCATCACAGCATCTATCTCTTTAAGTCTTCATTTTATTTGGACTGTAGATGGGTAATTTTTCATGCGCATACTGCTCTGGATTTATTACAGAAGTTCTGTTCACTTTAATCTCATCGAACATTACACCTCATTTTTTTCATCAATATCTCGCCACTCAAGCTGCATTTACCTACATTTTAATGCCAAATTTGGCTGGCTAAGCTGCATAGAACATGGTAATTGGTTTAAAAAAAATCAAGCTACAAATCAAAAATAAATTAAACAAGTAATATTTCAAACTACTTGGAGATGATAAATAATAACCAACTTACAAAAAACAAAGCAAACGTTTTGACCGCCGAGACCAAGACTGCAGTTTGTTAGTGGTCGAAACGTTTATTATTTCTCATCTCTATGTGGTTTGAAATATTACTTGTTTAATTTCTTTTTGGCTAGTAGCTCGATTTTTTTACAATTAATTACCATGCTGTATTTACATATGTCTGCTTGTCTGACTAATTTTAATTTGAATGAAATGTCTTGCTATGAGCTGGAGAGGCAAAACTGACATAACAAGTGAAAATATAGATAAATGAAAAAAGTAAAATACTAACTCATTTTCTTCAACTGACAGACCCAAAGGATCCTCAAGTTGGTAACTTGATGGAGAAAGTGAGCGGTGGCCCCATGTTAGGGTGTTCAAGGAAGCTTCTTCAACCCATACAGCACTTTCTTTCAATGGGCCAATTGTTTCGTGATACCCGCGGAATTGAACTAAAGAAGTGCCAATTCCACCAGAGCCTGTGACCACAATTATCTCACCTCTGCCTTTTCCTGGACCGGATCTAGCAATAACTTTGTTTGGCGATTTCCATTCCGCAGACAGCAAACAGTCACTGCCACAAATTGTTAAACCTGTTGAAAATAAAAAAAGGAAACAAAGATGAATTAATGAAAAGAAAAAATTAATTATAATGTTTTGTTTTTAAGTTTAGGGTAAAACACAACGATTCAATATTCCCTCGAATCTGAAGAAGAGCTAATTACTTAAGTAATCTACAAGAGGGTAGGAGTTTGAACTTAAAATGATACAAGAAAAACTACCTGCACAGTGCAAGGAGAAGCACATCGACAGTGTAAGTCGGCAATCACATAACTCGGTTTGCAACGTCACAGACTTCCTGTCATTTTCTATTTTTTAAACAGCAAACCACTCATCAGCATTTCTTCAGAACTGCCGTGATTTTTCTTCTCTGTGCGAAGAAAATTCTGCAAACACTTCAAGGAATGATGTCAATTAGTTCTCCTTTAAAAAAATAACATAGAGACGGAGATTTCCAGACACTGCAAACGAGATATGTGATTGCCCACTGACACCGTCGACGTACTTAAGCTGTATTCCATGACAGCAAATAATGGACGCAAGAGGACAAATGTTACAAACAGTGGCTCCTTCTGGTAAGACTGGAGAGATGGCCTTAAAAGTAAGGGCAGAGAACTTGCCTTTACCCGTTCAGCGAATTAGAAATCCAGCCCTAAACAAATGGACGTATTCCTGCCAAACCAAACAATATAGATGAGTGGGAAAGATGGAACATGCTCTAGAAAGCTGCATAAGAAATAACGTAAAAGTGAGAACGATTCCCTATGGAGAAATGGAAAAGCTAGATTTTACATTCTTTCAAAGGAAACTCCATGATAACTGAATGCGGCACTTGTTTGTTGCCGCTGACATCGGCGCTTTCTAATTCCCATTCATTCTTGCGGCCCTTGACAAATGAGCACACCCCTTCTTCCCCACTTGAGTATCTCTGGTTTCGCTTGGCACATATACGTCCAAATGATAAAATTAGGTAGATGACAGGTGTTATGCATAGCAACTTATTATTGTCCACCGATGATAAAGCAGCTTACCAATCAGATCATTCGGAGTTTTTCCAAGATGCTGACCACGGATTGTGACCCGCGTTCCGGGAGGGCCTTCCTTCGGAGAAATACCATTCACGACTGGAGCAGGTGCCATTTTTTAAAACAGAGAGTACTACGAATGAGCGAACATGAGAGGAGTCCTTCACGGCAATGTCATAAGATTAAATCAAGAAAATTGTGGCTGTGGGAGAGATCATCGCCAGGGATCCCAGCGTAACACTTATCACAAACCTAAGGCACCGTTCTCCTGTAGGAGAAAAATAACAAGGTGAGTGATGATTCTAAGGATGTTAGAAAGTTCCATGAAAACATGAATGTGTACGAAGTAGCAGTAGAAGAAACAGGGTAACAAATTACGGAGAAGTTTCTGTTGAAAGTTTTCTTATCACTAATAATTTTGGCTGTACCAATACACATAACCTTAGCACCGTTGTTGATATCAACACTCAACGGCAAGACACCGGTTTATTATTTTGTTTACATTGTCATCACGCTTTTTAAGTAAGGTTAATTTCTTGACGTTTTCTGCGTGTTTTTTTATGGTTTTTTTTGTAGAGACGAGTGTTTTATAAGATTTTGGAACATTTTAAATTATTATAATATCTTGTTTGAATATATCTTGAACTTGTATTTATCTCACAAGTGCTGCTCCAGTATTGATTTTCTTTGTTTTTCGTTTACGAAGGTAGTGAACTGTGTCCATTCCAATAAACCCTGTAAAGCACTCAATGTTGTACGGAGTAAGTTTTGAAAGCCTCCTCTATTTGGTTTCCGAAAATGCTCTCTAAATCTTTTTCACCAAGACCCTTTATTCCATAGTCGGTGCGTTCATCAGTACCTCCTTAAGGTGATTCGTCAAGCTCAAGTGATGTGGTCGAACTGGCATGCGATATATCGCATCTTTCAGGTCAAAAATCTCGGCAGATTTTGAATTCTCAGTAAAAAAAAGGACAATAGCCCCTGCACATGAGCCTGAAGAATCATTCTAAACCCAAAAATCGGCAAAATTCAGAGAAATGAAAGCAGGATAGTGTTTGGAAAAAAACCTCGCATTTGATACCGAAATCGATAGCTGAATCGAATGCGAGGTTTTTTTCCAAAAACTACCCTGCTTTCATTTCTCTGAATTTTGCCGATTTTTGGGTTTAGAATGATTCTTTAGGCTCATGCGCAGGGGCTATTGTCCTTTTTTTTACTGAAAATTCAAAATCTGCCGAGATTTTTGATCTAAAGATGCGATATATCGCATGCCAGTTCGACCATTTCTTTTGAGCTTGACGAATCACCTTAAGTAGTTGAGTAGTCGAGATACGGGCTTTTTTTTTCCGTGGAACACATGGAATGCGATGGTAGCGGTTTGGGCTGGTTCAACGGGCCTAACTGCGGCCTCGACCAACCTCAACTCACCTCGGAAGAGCGTTCCAAGCGTTCTTTCGGAACACATGGAATGCACTGAAACACGCCAGTGGAACGGGATAAAAAAGTGATGCGTCCTGTAGCAATTCTCTGCAGTTCAGAAAAAAAAAAAGCCCTATTACTCGTCACTTGCTTATGGATTTACTTCCAGTCTTTTTTTGACATTTATCAGGTTTCTAGGTCGTACATTTTTTGTAAAACCCTTGACACATTACACCAACTTTGGTTTTAGCCGCATAATTTTTACCCCTAAAATACTCTTTTGTAGCTCTAACTTCAGTAGAGTCAAAGTCTTCCGAATGAACAGTCGCTACAAGAAAGCAGGACATTAGCTGTAAACAAAAAAATTCTGAATGTTGTCATTATCTAATTTTAAAAAATGACAAACATCCAAAACTTGATTCAATAAGGATGTTAACAGGATAATTTCCTTTTTTCAGATACAACCAAGTCTCAAAGCTGTTTGTGCCATCGGAATTCCTTCTCTGGCATATTTTTTACTTCCAGCTGCTTTCAATCAAACTGTCACCACAATGTCCACAAATGCTGCAGGACAGTATTCAATGGCCTTTGTCACAATAGACAATGAAGAGAATGCAAAAAAATTAGCCAAGTAAGTAGAATTTTCTACTTTGAATACCTACATTTCGTGCTTCTCAATCCGAAGAAGCTGTAAGATCTTTAAAGTGTACCTTTAAACAGAATGAGAACAACTTCTTCACCTGGGTTCTCTTTCTCTGCTATGTGACCAATAATTCAAGCAGAAAGAATGAATCTCTCACATTTAAGTGTATACATTTTTCAAAGATCTCATGCTACAATCAATAACTATTTTAAATTTTCATCTTATGAGATGAATCAGTCCCAAAACAAACATGTGTAATCTGTAAATTTATTTGAACTACATCAGGAGATCTGACCCAAACTCTAGTTTAGAAGTGAGAATTTTTCCTTATTTGTTAGTACCCAGAACCACCAAATTACCTTGTCAAACAATACTTCTAATTTTCACCATAAAAAACAAAAGTAACTATCCTAATACCTACGATTTAGAATCAGGGACCGTGGTTTTTTTTCGGTAAAAAGAAAATAAGGAAAATAGGACTAAATATAATATCGCGACGAAATTTCCCGTGATTTGAATCATAATCAATCGTAAAATTCTCGTTTGCAACGTCGCAATCGAGGTAAATAAGCTCCATTTCGCGTGGAATGAACCATCGATATTTGAGTTCGTTTACGGCAGGCGTAACATACAACTATTCCACCTCGGGTGAATGCATGTTGCAGCTCCGCCGGATTGAAGGCGTTTCAAACTGCGAAGATGTCTTGACTCTTCACCGCCCTGCCGACCCTCGCGAACGGGACGAACGGTGAAATCGCGGCGACACTTAGACGACGCGTCATTATTTATGACTCCCTTCTAATTTTCAGCATAAAAAACAAAAGTAACTATCTCAATACTTACGACTTAGAATCAGGGACCGTGGTTTTTTTTCGGTAACAAGAAAATAAGAAAAATTGGACTGAATAAAATATCGCGACGAAATTTCCCGTGATTTTAATCATAATCAATCGTAAAATTATCGTGAATTTTTCAGTGAAATTTTGCGTATCCTTTAAAAAAATATTGATGAAAATTGACGCATTAAGTGTGGTTTGCAACGTTTCAATCGAGGTAAATAAGCCCCATTTCGCGTGGAATGAACCATCGATATTTGAGTTCGTTTACGGCAGGCGTAACACACAACTATTCCACCTCGGGTGTACGCATGTTGCAGCTCCGCCGGATTGAAGGCATTTCAAACTGCGAAGATGTCTTGAGTCTTCACCGCCCTGCCCACCCTCGCGAGCGGGACGAACGCTGAAATCGCGGCGACTCTTGACGACGCGTCATTATTTATGACTCCCTTCTAATATTCAGCAAAAATAACAGAAGTATCCAACTTAATACTAACTATTTAGAATCAGGGACCGTGGTTTTTTTTCGGTAAAAGGAAAATAAGAAAAATAGGACTGAATAAAATATCGCGACGAAATTTCCCGTGATTTTAATCATAATCAATCGTAAAATTATCGTGAATTTTTCAGTGAAATTTTGCGTATCCTTTAAAAAAATATTGATGAAAATTGACGCATTAAATGTGGTTTGCAACGTTTCAATCGAGGTAAATAAGCCCCATTTCGCGTGGAATGAACCATAATCAATCATAAAATTCTCGTTTGCAACGTCGCAATCGAGGTAAATAAGCTCCATTTCGCGTAGAATGAACCATCGATATTTGAGTTCGTTTACGGCAGGCGTAACATACAACTATTTCACCTCGGGTGTACGCATGTTGCAGCTCCGCCGGATTGAAGGCGTTTCAAACTGCGAAGACGTCTTGAGTCTTCACCGCCCTGCCGACCCTCGCGAGCGGGACGAACGCAAAAATCGCTGCGACACTTTTACAACGTGTCATAATTTATGACTCCAGACTATGTTTCCATAAACAATTAAAAGTTTTTGTTAGGATTTGTGATGTCATGATATCTGTCTGAGCTCAGGAAATTCAGGTTTAGGAAGGTAGATGGTGAAAAATTAGACACTTCTTCATAGGAAAGTATCATTAAATGTTGTTAGAGAAGTGTATATAGCTGTAAAATGCAGCTCATCATTATCTAGAATTCATGCAGCATTGTTTCTGAGTGATGAGTTGAAAAGATTAAAAAACTATCAACATCTTTGAATTTTACCTCCTCCGCAGATTTACCCCTTGTTTGCCACTCTCTGCCAATCACAAGATTAGCTGGTGAGTGTTCTTGTACCATTCTTGTCTTTTTTTAAAAAAAAATTTCTCAGAATCATGTTTACCTATTAGTATTGTATCACCTCCTTCTCTAACCATGCATATTACTATCAGTTTGACTTCTTTGTTTTTATAATTGTCTTGTTGTTGAGCATTTTGCAAGGAAATATTAGGTAACATCGATTATTTTAGCCCAGTATGTCAGTGTCTTGCTTATTTAATGTGGTTATTTTTGCTTTTCAGATCGGTTGTGACGAATCAGTTGGCTGCCTGTGTTAATATTGTTCCAAAGATCCTTTCCATGTAGGTGTCTCCTTTTAGGCACATAAGTATTCATTCTTAATATTTTTATTTTAATTTCATAAAATAAGACTCAAGGATCTACCCAATTGGAAAAGGATCTCCTTCTCCACCCCTCAAATTGAGTGAGGTTTTTTTAAAGTTTGAAATGTGAAGTGGTTTCTCAGATTTTTCTGTTGGAACTTTTTTAGGATTCATTGCATTACTTTGAAGTTCCTTGGTGCCTTTGTACAGGATGCCCTGTTCCGAATATGCACTCTTCAAGTTTTGAACCAAATAATTATCTCCAATGAGTCTGAAATTTCAATTTTGACACCAAAGTGTCTATAGGGGAATGAGTGAGAATATGAAAGTGCAGATGCATTGCATTGCAAGGGAACTTGATGATGAATATTTTTTCCCTACCCCAAAGTCATTGCACAGCCCTAATTTTTCTGAGTGGTGATGTTTTGGTTTAAGGAAAACCAACCTCTGCACTCTTGAACTTCCTTTTTTTGATACATTAATTTTTATTAAAATATGAGACAAGAATTAAGTTAATAAGCTTGTAAGTAGCTGATGATCAAACAGAATGGATCATTTGCACTAGGTAGTTGCAGAATCGTGTTCTCATAGTTTATGCATGTACATAAGCTTTTTAAATCATATCAAAAGAGCTGATAAAAATTCTGTAAAGAGAGAATTTCCTATTACTATGTTAATTTAAAAATTCTGAATGGAAAATTAAAGTTTTACTTATCATCTTGCTCTAATTATGCCTGTTATTTTGTTGTAGATATAAATGGGAAGGTGAAATACAGGAAGACAGTGAACTTCTTTTGGTGAGTTTTACGGCCCTTTTATGGACTACTGTCACATCATTTTAAATTATCAATGTCATCCAATACAATATATTTCACCTGCAATTAGGCTATCCAAAATTAACAGCAGAATTGGAGAGAGAACCAAACTTTTAATTTTCTAATTATTTTAAAACCGAAAAAAAAGAAGAATTAGATGTAGCTTATCATATTGTAAGAACAAAGCACCAATCTTTGTCAGCATTTAAACAAACATGTATGAGGACATATTTCAATATTTCTTTTAAAGTTTTCTTTTTAAAGTATTACGAGTTTCTCACAAGTCTCTTCTAAGAGATGTCGCTACCAGGGTTGTTCCAAGCAATGAAAAAATGTAAAATACTCCTTGTTAATATCTTTAATTTTAAAGTTTAAGTACATAAGTGTGTCCATAATTTTCCTGAAATTCTATTGAAAATACTTCAATAACATGTTTATTTCAATTTTTGTTCTTTATTGTATTGACCGTGTTTTTATCATTTTTTTTTTCAGCTCATGAAAACCAGAACATCCCTTGTTGATGAACTAATTGCACATGTGAAGTGAGTATTTTTCTAAGACCTTAAATTTTTCATATCATTAGCAAGACTGGATGTGCCACTTGTTCTTAGGTCACAGTTTTCATGTCTAAACTAATCTTTACTCTCGACGTGTATCCTCATCTAATGCTACTATTCAGTTAAACACCATGTTGCCTTATATTTGCATAACTGTATTTTGAAGTCCCTCTAGCTTGATAACCATTTTTCAATTTTATATCGGTGTATTATCAAGTTGAACTTTATTTTTTATACACAGAAATTGAAAATTACAAAGAAATTCAATCCAGAAGTTTTAAGAGCACATACGCATTAACTATATATGCAAATTTTTGCAGCAAAAATCAATGGCCTTTTTTTTCTTTTTTTTTAAAAATAAAAAAGCATCACTAACTCTTACAGTTTGGTAATGTTTTGGAAGATCAGCCCTTCACATCTAAAGAAATTCTGTCCATGATAGATCGCAAATTTTTAACTCTTTGTTTTAAAACTCTAAAGTAAACCAAGTTTGTGAAAGAATTTTGCAAAAGAATTAGATGTAGCAGCAGCCTGAGAAGTGTTACTTTCCAAAATAATCATTACATCTGAAGCCTGTTTTCCAGTAGGTACTATCCTAGTTAGTTTTTTTCTCTGTCCTCCTCACATCCCTTATTTTCCAAAAACCTTCGTAATTTATTTTTTTTTTTTTTAACTTTTTTTCTTACTTGTTTGTCACTCTCTGTAAATTTTATCGTCACTCTCTGCTCTTTTGTTTCAGAGCTAATCATCCATATAAAGTTTGTAAAGTAATCACAACCACGGTAAGTTTGCTCAATATTTTTTAATTTTCAATCAACCTTCCTCAAAGTAAATTTATTTATAAATGCATTATCCTACACAACGTCCAGAAGGTCACAGTTGAGGTTGACTCAGTCAAGGCAGATTCCTCTCATGGCATAATATTCTTAAAGGTAAAAAAAACACATTGTTTTAATAGTGGCTAATGTACTCAGAGGGAGGCTCATAAACTCATAACTGATAAATCTCAAAGTTAGAAAATATTATGGAAAGACCATTTTCTCCGATGAGTTCAATTCAGGATTAAATCAAAGTAGCAAAGCTCCATCTAGCATCAAGGGCATGGTGAGTGATAAAGACATCACTATTACCTAAGCGTGCCTCTAAAATTGGATTTTCTAAAGAGAGAATCAATTTTTCTTTTGCAGATTGACAAAGGAAATCCAGACTATCTCTCATGGATCTCTGATGTTGTACCTGAAAGAAAATAAAGGCAAGCTCAAGGGCTCATGAAAGGCAAAAAATCTAAAGTATTTTAAATAGGTACACAACGAATATGTTAAATTCGTTCTTTCCCAACAAAGTGAATCACCGGCTATTCTAAATGTTATACTTTTTTATATTCTTGAGTTCGAATCAAACATCCTCTATCTCCTTTACAAATGTCACAATTTATCAGCTTTCAAGTTTTTGTACATGTGTGTGCTTCTAAAGTAAGTAAATGAAGTAGAATTCTTTATGGCGACTGCTCTCAATAGAGTGGAGGCTTGGGAGCATTGCCTGAGCAAAAATTCTAAAAATTAAGTATGGAATGCGAGTGCATTGTGTATTCTCTAACAAGCTCTGTAAGCAGACTTTGTTCCTCTCTTTCATTATGATAATTAAAACGATTCATTTTGAATTTTTTTTTTTTTAAAGTATCATCTGGTTGTGTATGAAATGATGTAATTACTCAATAAAACTTAGTTCTACTCACAACATTTTTCTCAGTTATTTATTTGGGGGTCTTTTGGGTTTTTGATAGAGAACTTTTTGACCCATTTCCCTCAGGTAAAATTTTGGGCACTCTTTGCCGACAGATTTCTCGGTCGATATGGCGCAAAAACGCTGACACTGAGTCAGTAAACGGAGCGTCATTTTTAATTTCGCGCGCTCTAAACTGAAGTTCTCCACTCGTGGAGCGAAGAGAGTGCGCGGTGTATAGTATAGAGCACCCGGGGCCGAATCTTGTCGGCTCTTTCCCTGAGAGGTGGAGCGTCCATCGTCTATCTGAGTCCAAACCGCACCACCTGCCAATCAGAAGCGCTAAGCTGGACCTAAGCGCAGTCGAAACCAGTCCTGAGAATATTTAAGTACGGTGGAAGGACCGACAATATTCAAGCCCTTGCATTCTGCAGTCCTGCACTCACGAAGCGAAGTCTTGCAATGAATATGCAACAATGAAAATTTAAAAATGAGTACTTAAGTAAATCGATTGCTGAGTTTCAAAGGCCATTTTGAAATTTTATCAAGCGAATATTCCCATACATTTTTGCAGAAAAGATCTAGAGAGCAGCCTTGAAAGGACACAAAAAATCACGCGGAAGTGGAATCCCTTTCCATAATAATTATCCAACAAAAAAAAAAAAAAAATGCAAAATCTGTCAGAAAATCTTCTGAAAATTTAAGATGTGTGTATTTTTTCACAGTTTCTTACTTTGCTTTCGCCATTTCAATAACTCTTTTGCCGATTAAGCCATTAAGCTGAAGCTCTTGATAAGTTTCGTGGTTTTCATCGTTGAGAAGGACGCACTAAAAATAGAATTTTTAGTGCAAAAATAAAGATATAACTAAAAGACCGTTACAAAATGGTCGCTGGTCAAAGTTATTAGTAACTGAAGGAAAGGATCTCGGCGAAGATCCAACTCAAAATGGCGTTAAACAAGTATTTTCCGGTTCTCTAATAGTTTTTGCTTCAAACTTGGTAGCTGGGGATATCGGAATAGGTAATGATCGCCGTACGAATTCGACGCGGTAGTTTTTCAAAATACCTTGCGTTGGAAATAAGTTCTCCGTCAAATTCATGAGTCAAATCAATATTACGTCTTTCTATTCGAAAATCTAAATCCGATACTGAACGATCTACTGATACAACATTTTCCAAGCAGCGTCAAGAAATCGTGTTGAGCGACATATTTACCTAGTCTGTTCCCTTACTCGCAATATTAATCGATACTTCGGAATAGAATATTTTTTAGGTTGGTTTGGTTGGTTGATATTGCATTTATTGGAGGGCTTCACACAGTAATATGAGCTCCAACGTGTGATCGAATTCTTGACGAATGACTTTGACGCCATGTCAGTTCGCCTTCAACTTTTAGTGTAGGCAACAAAAGCTCCTATGAGGTCGAATAGTGGTATCATCGTGAAATACCACGCTTATTTTGAAAACCCCTGGTAAAAATTGGCGATAGGAGCTGCGTTTCAAAATACCATAGGAGTTCTTATAGCCGACTGAAGAGGGCGATGGAAAATCATATAGCTGGCTGTAGAAAGTGGAAAAAATCATACGACCGGGCTACACGAAGCGATACAAAATTATGCAGCCGGGCTACAGTTCCTATCGCCGGGCTTTACACTTTATCGCCTGGCTGTTGCTTTTTCGCCATCGGCCATAAAAGGCTATAAGAAATAGTGTAGAAATTCTTGTGCTTTGTAAATCCTTAAGTTTGTACGGAATCACCTTAATATTCACAAAACGCACATTATATTTCCCTTTACTACATATTTTTTTTCATCAATTAAAATGAGAATAATCCATACAGAGTGTGCAAACATACCAAACTCATGAGTTGAAAAACGCTGACTCCGCGAGATTAAATATTAGATCCTAACACAAAGCGGAGCGGCGGCGCACTGGCGCCTACAAACCTAACAGGGATACTTCACGCATTGCGCAACGCGTGAAGTATCCCTGTTAGGTTTGTAGGCGCCAATGCGCGTTCAGCGCTGGCTGCCCGCCCGCTGCGCCGCGCCGCAGCGTACCGCGGCGCTTGAAGCAACTATTTCACTCCAGAGGTATTGCACAGTATCATACGAAATTGAAGGCGCTCCCACATATCAGGAATGGCAGGCATCCTTCAAAAGTACGGAGCTTCCCTCGCAAATTAAATCAAGATACTGCGGCCCAAAAAGAGAGCGGTATATAGTCCAAAAACTCACTAAGTCCTAGCATCCGTAATTAGTAACGTTTAGCATACACTTTACCGCCAGGCTGTTGCTTAATCGCCGTCGGCTATAAGAAATTGTGTTGCCGGCTATAGAAGCTATTGGAAATCTTACAGCCGGCTATAGGTGTATGGTATTTTGGAACACGGATGTCAATTTTTACCAGGGACGCGAAAAATATCCTATTGCCGGAATCACACGCTGAATTTGGCAGCTGAATCTGGAAGTCAACAGTTATCGCTCAATAGCTGAAATTTCGCAAATTCGAGATATTTTCATTCAAATGTGTATCAAATCTATTCGAAGTTCAGACGAATCCGACGATCGCTGATATGAGAATCGTCGCTGAATTTTGCGCGTCACACGCGCAAAGTTCAGGCATCGGGCCGATGACTTCCACATTCAAGTTACATTCAGCGTGTGATAGCGGCACATTACCGAATGATGAAAGGTAATTCGAACACTTTGGTAGTTCGTCTACAATTTTTAGTGGAGGCAACACGGGCTGCCTTGTGGCCTAAAAGTATGATGAAGTGACACGCTAACACACAAAATAACACAGAATACACACAAAAAACAGATATTGACTGGATGGGACGAAGGGACTTTAACGTGACATGTTAGTTCGCCTTCAACTTTTAGTGTAGGCAACAAAAGCTCCCATGAGGACGAATAGTGGTATCATCGTGAAATATCACGCTATGGCCTAAAAGTATGATGAAGTGACACGCTAACACACAAAATAACACAGAATACACACATAAAACAGATATTGACTGGACGGGACGAAGTGACTTTAACGACATGTTAGTTCGCCTTCAACTTTTAGTGTAGGCAACAAAAGCTCCCATGAGGTCGAATAGTGGTATCATCGTGAAATATCACGCTTAGGTAATCAAAATACGCAAAAAGTATCCTTCCACCAAATGTGGAGAGGTAACTCGAACGCATTGTCAGTTCGCCTACAATTTTCGATGTAGGCAACACGGGCTCCCACGTGGTCGAAAAGTGGTATCATCGCGAAATGTCAAGCTCACTCAGAACATCTGCGAACGCAATGAAGTAACTTCAGCGTTTTTATTCGCTCGCTGGAGCTTTTGATTCCAGGCAATAGGAACACTTATATGGCCAAGTAGTTTTATTGCCAAAAGGTGGGTTACAAGCTAATGTTTGTAAGACTTTTATAAATTGGCTAGGCTAATAATATAAATTCAATCAGAAAAATTAAAGCGCTAAATTCAAAAATGCTTGTATGCAAGAGAAGAATAGTTGCGAAAAGGAATAATCTGCATAATACAAGTAAAATATGAATACCGAGGACAATAAATGCTAATGAAATTACGATAGATTTTGTATGGAAAAAAACTAAAAATAAAAAAAATACTCAAAGGCCACTGAAAATAAAATCAATAAAAGTAACTGCAACAGAAAAGAGTTGAAATCCGGTATACATACTGTTTCGCATACGGCTTAACACCCCCACCCCTTGTCACATTCGGTCACAAAATTATGTTACGTAATTTATGAAGAGCCCCACAATAGAACAAGCATTTCTTAGTCCGTCGAATTTAATTTGAATGACTTGACTTCATTTATTAAAACATTCTTGCAAAAAAATTCGCACATGTTCAATTATCTTCTTCCATAATGATGAAACGATACGGTAAGTCGTTTAGTTCCTGGCCATGAATCACGGAGGGATTTTAAGAGAATGTATCCCTAGGGAGCTGGATATCATCGTATCTTCCCAATCAAGATTCTTCTTGCCAAACTGTACTTAGCGTGACGCTAGTAAACAGACGGTGACAATAAAAATTGAAATATTTTAACCCTCTCACCCGTCTTTTTCATCGATGTATCAGAGTTGTCCCAGTCTGGGAATATTGGGAAAACCGGGGAATGTCAGGGAATTTTTAAAAGTCAGGGAAAAACTGGAAATGTCAAGGAAAAGTGATATCTCTCCTCGTTTTTAAAAATGCTGACGGAACGCCCTTTCTTCAAGTTTAATTTTGCATTGTACGACTGTCTATTGGTGTGGGTCAAGGCAATGTTACAGTTATAGATGTAATTCTGGGAACGCTTAATACTTTCGCAGCATTGGCATCGTCCAAACAAAAAAAATCTCATAGCTACTAATTGGATCTCGCACGTGCTAATTATTGGTTACATAAACATTCGAACGTGTGAATTCCGGTTCATCAGTCGGGGTAGGTATTTCATCGACGCGTGCTCACCTGTCATTCACATTGGCGCAATTTTTCGGTCAGTTTAAGTAGCCAGGCACTCACTTACTTTTTGGCCGCGAGCTTTACTTCGAGTTCGTCCTCTTTCGAGTGTGCTCTCATTTGCGTGCGTTTTTAGAACGATTACCACGCCTGTATGAAATGAGAGAAGGTGAAGAAAAATGACCGATGTTTAGATCGTAGGGGGTTGTCGGTGGAGGAAATTCAACCTCGTTCTTGAAAAATATAAAACGATTTTTATAATTCATGAACAACCCCTAATGAGGGGTTACTCTGAGGGGGGGTGGGATTAGGGGGAAATTCAGGTGGTTGAAAATGGCATAGGTAGTAATAGTTTTACCAATTTTGGAATACTAAGATTTTTATTTTTGACGTCTTATTGATTATTATTTTTATTTTATTAAACTAGAGGGCTCCNCCTTTTATCCTGGTTATTAGAAGAAATACATCCCATTTTTATACCTGTCTACCTATCAATAATTCCTTTACGGAAGAATACATTTAAATTTCCCGGGGATTTTCAA